TGTTTAAATACCCGGCATACATGTGCTACCAAGCAAGCCTCCTCGACATTGAGAAACGGCCAGAGCTGGAGAGGGCTGTTATTCAGCCATGATTAAATGTATTATTTACACGTTGACTTTTGCATGTTTCAACAGAGCAGTTTTGAGATTTGTAGAGACGATACTCTATGTAGGGCTTACAGAGGTTCATTTGTTATTGTAAATAATAATAATAATAACTGCTATTTTTTGCTAACAGATCGCTGCTAAGGATGACACTGATCAATGTGCGGTCATATCAATCCGCAGAAAGAAGTCCGGTCAATTTAACGTTAACGGTGGACAACGATAATTTGTTTTCATCCATCAGAAAACAGCATGGAATACTTTTTGAATATTTATATTAGTATTTTTGGAGAGCAGGAAACGTAGGACTCATGTTAGCTAAACTTTCCCCAGTGAAGAAAAGCAAAGAGGTTAAAAGACAGAGAGCTGGACGTCAGAGAAATCAGCAGAAGAAGACAGACAGGAAGTAAACACTAACAGGAACACAGCATGGGCTCTGACGGTGTTTAAAGACGGAAAAGACTATGTGAACAGACAGTTACAGAAAACCTCGATATACGCTGCCAACATTTTACTTGTACAAATAAAATATTAATAAATAATTAATCTTGTGCAGACGGATATCGGCCAATAGGACAATCTGAAAAAATGGCATTAATCAGTCAACCACTGCCAAACTAAAATTGCACAAAACATGGTGTTTCTGTTGCTGTGGGCGTAGCAGGAGCTCATTAGCACCTTTTACACAGACAGAAACAACTTGCTTAACAACCTCATGTTACCCTTGCAGTTTATATTGTTTGCAGTGGCAGACAGAATTACCCACAGCCCATCCTCAGCCCATCTCATTTAGCTGCTTGTTAGAGAACGACACGGAGGCAGCCTGAAGTCCCAGGATGCTCTGTGTACACTCCACAGAGGACACACAGAGGTTAACAACCCTTTATTAATCCCTGCTAACAGAGACACCCGCAGGGAGGGAGAAGGCGATAAAGAGGCTTAATAGACTGAGAGAGAGGAGAAAAAAAACACAACAAAACAGGGATGATATGTGGGTGGGACTTTTCCAAAAAGACGAGACAGATAGACAGGGACAGGAAGTGAAAAGACAAATAGAGTGGTGATGGGAGAAGTCATTTTGTAGGCTGACCCAAAAGTAAGCATCGCACGGGCATCTTTGACGAAAACGTTTCTGATACATACAAGTTTTAAAAAGCTAACATCAGGACATGTTAAGACATTTTTGCTGCAGCACAGGCAGTATGAGACAAATAAAGAGCTTTACCACTATGAGCATAATAGGTCCTATTTAAGTAGACTTTTCCCACCATTGATGATATTTAATCGGCCCCTGCGTAGCATGAAAGATGTCTGACTGCGCCCCACACTCTGCTAAGACACTCAACAGTGTCTCTTCTCTTTTTCGATATCGGAAAAACACACACACGCACACGCACACACACACGCATATTCAGTAAAGGCTGCGGCGCTGAGGGAGCTCAGAGAGGAGGTTTGAGCTGTAATTGGATCGGCCTCTATTTGGGGTCAGTGGTAAAAGTGAAAAGACTTGAGGCTTTTTCAAATGGACTAAAGACTGGGGAGACAACGGAGCACAGGAAAGGTCAACATCAACTAGTCCTGTGGGGAAGTGTGTGTGTGTGTGTGTGTGTGTGTGTGTGTGTGTGTGTGAGAGAGAGTGTGGGTGTGTGTGAGAGAGAGTGTGGGTGTGTGTGAGAGAGAGTGTGGGTGTTGAGGCAATGGTGAAAATGATGTGCATTTACTCAAATAAGTGTGACATTTTGTTAACTAGCGTATTTCTATGTTATGCTACTTCAACACCAACACATTTCAGAGGGGGTAATATATTTTGACTATTTCTCTCTTTGGAAAAGGAGACGATACTGAATGCCAGGTGAAAGTCAGGTGAAGTGAGAGTGTGACGGTGATAATGAGGGTGTGTTAGGATCGCTCACACACCGATTATTTTACGGGTTTCAGGGCGTAGAGTCGGTGAACAGCTGTGAAACCAGGAAAGAGAGGAAGAGAGGAAGAGAGACAATGGAGGTGACAAGTGAGACAGTGAGGAGAATAATTCAAACTGATTAGCCATAAAGTTTGAGCGAGGGGAAAGAATGATTATTACTGAATCACTCCGACCATTTTACCGTCCTCCGCAAAGAGAGCTGTGTCTGTCGCTCAACTGCGCTCAGCCCTGCTCAGGGACACCAATCATTCAGAGGATCGATTCCAGGGTGTGTGTGTGTGTGTGTGTGTGTGTGTGTATATCTGAAAGTAGTGAGTGGAGTGACTGTCAATTATAAAAATAAGAAATAATAACATTTCTTAAAGGAATTGATCAGAAACGATTCTCGACAATCTTGTTTAGAGTTAAACATTTTTAAATAAAAAGAAAAATAATTTTTGCACAAAACATTTATAAAATACTGTTTTATTATCATTTTGAATTATCAAAAGATTATCTGAGATTGATTGATCATAAAAGTTTCTTTAACAAGTATGGAGATTTGTTTTAAAGTTTAAAAAAGTAGAAGAAAGAAATAAGGAAAAGGGAAAATAGAAAAACAAATACGCAGCATTTGAAAAAATAAATAAAATACGGTGTCATGTTTTTTTATTTGGAATGTTTAAATGTCAGTTTATTTTAATTTTTTTTATTTGAGATATTAACAATTCACAGTTTAATGCATTTATTCAAATAAACAATGAATTTCCTATTTTTCTTTATACTCTATGTAACTTCCTGATATAACTGACCTGCTTCTCTCTGAATCTCTCCACTTTCATCCTCTATCCGGCCAGGTATAAAATAATCCCTTGTGTCTTTGCTGCAGCATGTACAGGGACAAACCTGTGCCCGAGTGTGTGTGTGTGTGTATGTGTGTGTGTGTGTGTGTGTGTGTGTGTGTGTGTGTGTGTGTGTGTGTGTGTGTGTGTGTGTGTGTGTGCGTGCCTCAGTGTGCTTAGAAAGTGAAGGGAAAAGTGGAACAAATGCATAAATCAAACTGCTGAAAGTGACAGTAATGTTGGATTGTCCGGCTCTTTTTCAGTATGTTTTTCACGTGTTTCAAATCCATTAATGAGAGACGAATATGCAGTTTTCTTGCTGATCACTGCCTCCCTTTTGTTCTTACTGCATTTCCAGTCAATTCAAATTCAGTAACCGTGGGCATACATTTATTTCAGGACAAAGAAAGATTAAATTAGATTTTTTTCACTTCACACTGCAGCATATAGGTTTGACTCAAGCCTATAAGGAAATGCATGAATCCTTACTTGCTATTAGAGTAGCAATAATTAACTAATTACAAGGACTTGGTTTCAAGATAATAACTTAAATACGCCCATTTATTATTTTTTCTCTCTTGTCCCCTTTTCTGATTTGTTAGTTATTTGATATACTTTAGTTTTAATTGTATCTCTTTTTGTATGTGTTATATGCCTGTAACGATATAATTTCATAAAAGATGCAAAAAGGAAAATGTTCGAGTTAACGTAATTATAATTTTCTCTTAATCACACACGCACGCACACACACACACACACACACACACACACACACACACACACACACACACACACACACACACACACACACACACACACACACACACACACACACACACACACACACACACACACACACACACACACACACACACACACACCACACACACACACACACACACACACACACACACACACACACACACACACACACACACACACACACACACACACACACACACACACACACACACACACACACACACACACACACACCTCCTGTTGTGCAAGGCTGATTTGAAAGACATTTAATTATTGAAATGCAATTAATGCAGCGCTCTGTGGGAACAGGCGGCACACGCACACACTGATCAACACCAACACAGGAGGGCATATGGAGGATACAGCAGGATATATATTATGAGCTGAGATTAACCAGCGCTTCGGATGCACATGGGATTAATGCATTGAGATGATGACTGGAAAGGATGTTTTTTCTGAATATGGATCTGATGGAACTCTGTGCATACGTGAGGATTTAGGAGGTCATTATCTTTTGCAGAGATAAAGAGATCATAGGTGGATTGAGAGGGTGAGACATAAGAATGAGCGCTGAATTGCTCCTATTGACCATGTTTTTGCTCACATGGTGTCTCTAACATGAGGTGCAATGCCATTTTTCACATATTATATTTAAGCTTTGAATGACCAGAGATGTGTTGTGTTTATCTCTTTTTTCTTTCTGAACTAGCTTAAAAAAAACCACCTCTACACAAACCTGTAGGCTATGCAGGAATAACAAGTGGTGTGTGTGTGTGTGTGTGTGTGTGTGTGTGTGTGTGTGTGTGTGTGTGTGTGTGTGTGTAGGTGTGTGTGTGTGTGTGTGTGTGTGTGTGTGTGTGTGTATGGGGTGGGGATACGGTGGGATCCGGCTACTACAATCTGCCTTCACTCACACTCACTGCGCCTTTGCCTGTATTTCAAGGACAAAAACCACACGGCAATGCACTGAGCGTGTTTCCAATGGAAGAGACTATACAAAAACCAGCGTTAACATTATAACCCACTGACAAAATGTGAAACAGCATTGGATGGTGGACACACGGGACACATCTTTAGTCAAAACGCGTATGGAAATAGGATTGGCTCCAATCTGCGTCTCCACCCTCCCCCTTGTTAAAAACCTACACATGTTGATTATAGCGTCATAACCCCTATTATAATGCACCTTAAAAAAAAATACAGCACATTCCTACACCTTCATATACCTTCAATATTCTATGGACAAGCTCAGAAATTGGTAATTTTTTTCTTCCAAAAAATAAACATTTACGGTTTGTTGTCCTATCATTTCATTCAAATAAACCAGTGCAGGTTTAGTATGGGAACCAGTTGTAGGTTATGACAAAATACAAAAAAACGTCTCTTACCGATAAATGGTGTTTGGTTTGATGGATGGATGTGTCTCTCTGCTGCTCTCCTCCAGAACCGCAGCTCGATGCCTGATCGTTTGCCGCAGACCACGCCCCCCCTCTACACTGATTGGTCCAATGAACGTCTGCCAAAGAGTATGAACGTGACACGAAATAGTTCCTTGTTCCTGTTTCCGTCTTTGCTTTAGCGAACGATCAATAGTTTGCCCTTATCTTATAAATAGTTGCTAAAGTCTAAAGTTACCTTCCATTTATTCGTTGTTATATAGATGTGTAGAAAAATCATTTGATTTTTTCAATTGCTTATTTCATTTCACATACCTCAATTTGTATGGATTCTAGCTAGGCCTAAACATGTCCCTTCTACAACGGTTAGCCTAGTTTGTTTTGAGAAAATAAGCAGTTCTATTGTTAATTTAATACAGTTTGAAAAGGTTTTTAAGAATTCCCGTTAATATGTAAAAACCGAGGCGTTTTGATTTAAAGTTTAAAGCTGGCAGTAGTTGACATGGGAAGATAACTATCTTGTCCCACAGTGCGGCAGTTAATTTCGGGTCGTTCTTGCTATTTTTACTCCAAATAAATACACCACCCTACCGAGGACAGAGAGCCTTGTTGTTCGCTTTTTTAGGAAGTGGAAAAGGTAGTGCGTAGCTATGTCAACGCAAAATCTGGTCAAAACACCCCACCTGTACACATTTTAGGGATTTGTAGTCTTTTTTGGTGGCCATTAGAACGGCAGCCCACGCAGCAGACTCGCCGAAAGAACTACAAACGGCCGACTCTGCGATACCAACTGACAGCTCGCGACACCGCCCACCCCGGCTCTCGCTGCAGCTTTGTCAGGCAGAAAACTTCCTGAATGAGACACAAACCACAACAAGAAGAGGGGAGATTGAAAAAACGAATCAGTCATTTATTCTTATATATATTTTTGTACATTTCCGTTCTTTTATCACAGACATTAGCTAGCTAGTTTGGTTAGCTAACCACGGTATTGATCACCTGTTCTTATCCCAACGGCTAATCTCATGTTAACGCTACCTGGCTGTAGGTATTATTAGCTTTTTAACATCACCTACAGCACGCTGCTTGTCTTCTCTTCATTAAAAATACATCTCAACACAGGTAAGTGTCTTGCTCTCTCAGTCAGCGACATGTTTATTTATTTACCTGTTAGTTAAACTGACAAACGTGTGGGGGTAAATAGGAGTTGTTTAGTACCGTAGTTAAGGCGGTGAGGCACTTTACCTGCTTAACGTATAATGGGAACCGCGGTGCATTCTGGGTTGTCGCAGCTGTCAATATTTATCAGCATTTATATATTTGGTGTACAGTGGTGTAAAGTAACTAAGTAGATTTACTCAAGTAATGTAGTGAAGTACCATGTTGAGAGACTTTACTGGAGTATTTCAATGTGTTGCTGCTCTGTACTTCTACCCCACTAAAAAAAATCTGAATTCATCTACTTCAAATCCACTAAATGTATTTAATACATTGATTTACTTTGTAGATTTTTATAAATGATATGAAATATAATCAACACTAAAATAATCTTTAGTTACACCTGGAGTAACATTCACAAGCTACCCTGCAGCATACAAAGTCATTAACAGCTTTGATAAACACATTAATGCATCAATAATTATAATCAAAACATATTATATTATTGTGAATTGGACCAATTTGCATGAGTACTTTAAGTATATTTTGATGCTAATAATTTTGTACTTTTACTTGTAACAGAGTATCTACACTCTGGTACTTCTACTTTTACTTAAAGGTCACCTATCATGCTATTTTTAGGCAATAGCATAGGTTTCAGATATATATAAATATATAAAAAACATGTATATTACATATTACAATGTATTGATGTGAAATTGAGTCTTGAGATGGGGTTATGTCTTATATTTGTAAACTTTGAAGGCACTTATTTCCTGAATCGTTCTTTATTCCAGTTTATCTACCACTCTCATACTGTATAGGTTTAACTGCAGGAAAAAGGGATGAAGTCAGAAAGTGAAAGAGCCATTTAATGTCGGTGTATTATTATTTACTGTAAATATTTATGTTTGGTGAGACAGTTACATATTCTTTGAATATAACTTTCATAATCTTGATTTAAAATGATACTGTTTTTGTTTTGTTTTGTTTGTTTATTGACTGTGCGAGGTTTATGTATGTTATTGTTTACGACCCAGTTCCATGCGGTAAAAAGCTGACTATAATGCGCATTTAAATGACGCTTCGTACGTGAAATCTCTTCAGCTTATTAACCACAGGCCTCTTACCACAACTACATACAAAAAACAGTTCACTTCAAACGAGGGAACCAGAAGTAGTAAAATGCTAACTCATTCCCGGGTTTAAGGACTCATTTCCTGCACCACTCTATTCATATTAGCAAACACTGCCATTCTGGACCTGTTTTTTAACCCTTTACTTTGTGTAATAGTGGTTAGTGTGTTGCAGTGTCGCTGTGTAAGAAATTGGAATAATGTTAGGAAATTCTCCACAATTAATAACCTGTTAGCTGGTTAGCATTTGAATCAACATCTTTTGGTTTAACAGTTAAGTTGTCTCTCTTTTTCCCAGGGTGTCATCTTTTTATTCTTCCCTTATCCCCGTAGAATTGTGGGGAACATAACAACGGGGCAAAATTAAACACCTCAATTAAATGAGTTCAATGGAGGACTATACATTCACTGACAGGTCTTCGCATGGTTTCTTCAAGACGCACTTTTTATATAAGCTACAGTAATTCCCTACCTTCCATTAAATGTTCACACATCTGTTGTATGATGAATAGAAATAAGAATAGAAATAAGAATAGTCTCATATTTTATGCTGCAAAACGGCCTAATAAAATGAGGATATTATTGATATTTTTCTCTGAATTTAACCAATGGGATTCACTGCTTCATCATGCCAAAATGTAGTTATAAAAATCCCTCTATATGAATGCCTCGGTTCTATATTTATCACTGACATTTTATTGCAGCAGTATAATTGGATAGGGTGTACCTTATTCAGGTATGACTCATGCCAGTTTTGTCACCATTGCACCCGGTGGAGCAGTAAAGCTCGCAGCCCTCGGCAATGTGGCTGTTATGTGATGATCATGTCAGTGACTAAAAGGCTTTCTGGGAAGCGGTACACGTCACATTTTATGACATCTAATCGGAAATAATAAAGCTGGTGTTGGAATTATTACCAAATGGATTGTTTGAATGTATTCCATCTTTGACTAAGAAGATTTTCTGTCCCCCATGTTCAATGCAAAAACATTTAGATACAACTAAATTGATTTGTAATTGTAATCATGGAGAGATGGATGATATGACAGATCTTAAAAACTTAAAGAAAACATCTTAACTTCCCCCTGGTGGCTGGCTACAGTACAAATCTGACTCCCCCCCCCCCCCATGTTAGCCGATGCGACATTAGGAAAGTCAAACTATAAGTCAAATAAATGTTTTCCCATTTTAAGTAGTTCTTATGATGTTGATGGATTTTCAGGTATTGTGTTTTCTGATTAGTTGGTTTTAATGTGTTATTGAATACCATGAAAAAGGGGGTATTCATACTTAACAGCCGAAGGATTGGGAACGGTACAATGGAGGTGGTGTAGCTTAACGAATCATAACTGTCGCAAGGCTGTGTCATAAAACCACGGTTGCTAACAAGTCACAAAATAAGACTACCAAATGTCACCACGCTGGACATTAGCCACCTTTAGCTTAGCGGTGGTGACGTGAAGTCATGCTAGCACGATGTGGTTCCTTTATAGCCTAATGTTAACTTTTTACTTCTGGTGATTGCATTTACACTTCAAAAATCACAAAGTGGTGTTAATATGTGGAGATTATCCTACTGAACAAAACGTTCTGCAATATACTGAAATCAAAAGGAAAAATCCCATTGCTTTTTGTTGATGGAGCCTTTCCGATGAGGACTTCGGGCCTACAAAAGCTTCAGTTTACAGACAAATAGTCATCACTGCACCACTCTTTTTTTATGGTAACTTTTTGTACATCTTGCCAGTCAAAAAAGCTACCGTGGTGCTAATTTAGCTGCTAAAAGGCTCACGCTAGCAAGATGTAGCAATGCTAGTAGTCTCTTAATTGGATCGTAATGTGTATGGGCCCCGAAATCCCCCTGATCACAACTGCATAAACCCTGGCTCAAAGTGACGTCAAAATATCAAGATGGCCGCTCCCATATTCAGAATAATTTGGTTTTCTCTTTTTGGGCAGAGGTCGAGGCACGTTGTCCATCTTTGTATACAGCCCTTCATTGTAACCATGGGACAGTTTTTGAAACCTTTTATTTTATTAAATCCCATACTCTTGTCCACTGCACTCGCCACCATCCATCTCTCCCTGCAGCTTGTTTACCTGCTCTTGTGTTCCTTTTCATCTCCTTCAGGTTCTTGTCAGCCTCCTTGAGCGATTGAATGAGGTGAAACTGGCAACAGTGGACAACCGCGCACACAAAGGGCCATCGATCAGTCAAGGATGATCATGGAAGACATGAAGAATGAAGCCGACGCTGCCTCGATAGTTTCTATGGCTGTGTACACTGTGATGTTCCCCGTCTTTAACCAGGTAACAATTAGACTTGTGGTAAATACTCATGTGGAGTCGAGGAGGTTGTGATGTGTGTGTGTTGAAAATGTTAAAGGTTAACTCTAAATGGGATTATATTCAACGTTCTTCTGCTGTGTTTACTTCCTGTCTGTCTTGTACTGCTGATTTCTCTGACATCCAGCACTGTCTATTCACTTCCTATATACTGTTGTGCCATTTTCTTGTTGATGTTCTCTTTTTCTTATCTTTGAAATATCTCAACAGCTATTGGACGACTTGCTTATCATAAAATCTGCTTCTGTTGCACTTTGTTGTTAGTGCTAATCAGCTAATGTTAGTATGAAAACATGCTAAACAAAGATAGTCAACGTTATACAAGCTAAACCTTAGCATGTTAGCTGATGTTGTTGCTGATTGTTCCCAGTCTAAGTACAGCCTACAAGTTTAACATCACAATAAGGAGATGGTAAGCAAGTCCTGTTTTCCATTTTCTAGCTAAACATTCAAAAATAATGTACAAATAAACTTGAAACATGGCACAAATACAGGTATTTATACAACACAAAAGGCGCAAAAGTTACATAAAAAGGGACAAGATAATAAACAGACCATACTCCTAGTGACAGCAAACACTTAAAGGTCACCTATCATGTTATCTTTAGGCAATAGCATAGGTCTCAGATATATAAATATATATAAAAAACATGTCTATGAAGTGTTTTGCTCAAAATACCAAACAGATCACCCATTCTAGCCATGCCTCATATCCCTCTATTTCACTTCCTGTTAAAAAAGTGCTGATTTGGGGTAAAAAGCTTAAAAAAAATTGATAACAAATAAAAAAGGAGGGGGCTGAGCTCATGCGGGACCCGGCAGCTACTGTCTAAACTAAATACTGCGGTGATGAAACGCCATATCATGGATTATCAAGGATTATTTCTGAAACAGTATGGAGCTCAAAGGCTTTCTCTCTTGCCGGTTATACCACAAGGTGAGTTCCTTTTTATATCCAGCTTCTTCACACACATGCTCTCCAGTACAGGTTAGCTCTGAGTGTTAGCGATGCTAATGTAAACACCGACCATATAACGTCCAAAACAGTCGGGCATTGTTTCTGATAGCAACGTTTCTGATAGGGCCGTGGGTGTAAAGCCAGCCTACATTTCCCTATATTACGTCATATCGGACGCAAATCTGGATCAGCTCCGTTGTAGCCCCGTTTTTAGAGATTTGGGTACGGAGGAAAAGAGAGAGGGTTTTATTTTCTGACGCTGCTTGAGTTCCCCGACACACCGGGGACACATATTTATGTATAAAAGACATCAAAAAGAGCATTTTGCATGATAGGTCCCCTTTAAAACAAAACAATTAGCTGTATTTATCAAATGGATAACATACCAATGTGATTTGAAAACCATTGGACTCAATTCCATTTACAATTTGTTTCTCTGTACCACAAAGAGAATAGTGTTTAAGTATTGCTAAACACTTTACATTTGGCATACATTTTCTGAGAAGGCCCTGGAGGCCAATTTCTCTCTCCTCTTATTTATTGTCTGTCTACACAAATATAGAGATACAAAGAAAACGTTTACACAGCAGTTTCCCCAAATGATATCCAAAGGCATTCTGTCAGCTTTCATCTGATGTCTTTACTTTTATTTTTGTGTTTTTACCATATTTATATTTCAGTCAGACAACTCACGTGTTTCTTAATATGTTTATTAGAAGCAGCATATAGTTTGAGTTTGGCATCTAGGCTCGGGCCTCATCACTCCACAGATTTATAAAGAACATTGAGTGATGATTAGATAACTATCCCCCGAGCCTACAGGTGGAAGCTGGGGTGGTGGTGGGGCAGGCAAGCAGCAGTGACATGAAACACAGCAGCAGGAACATGAACATAGCAATAGCAAGTGAACACAGCAGTGGCAGCAGCAGCATAGCGAGGCAGAGGCAGGAAGACCTGGCAGCTTAAAGGGGACCTATCATGCAAAATGCACTTTTGTACGTCTTTTATACATGAATATGTGTCCCCGGTGTTCCAGGGAACTCACCAAGTGTCAGAAAACACAACCCTCTCTATTTTCCTCCATACCCAAATCTCTAAAAAAGGGGCTGTAACGGATCTGATACAGACTGATCCAGATTTGAACACTTCTATGTCGTCACAGAAGTGGCCCTACGGCTATTGGGCCAACTCTCCACCTATCAGCGGAATGTGGGGTTGGGCCACGGCCGGCCATTGCCGCTCGAAAGTGCTGGAGACGCTGTAGTACATATGCCAGGCCTGTAAGTGGCGCTGTAGTCTGCCACAAAAGCAGCGAAGAAGACTTCCCGCCCATAGTTACCATGGTTACCTTTCTGTTTATTCTCCGCTGTGGCTTTCTTTCTCCCTCCCCGAGGCAAGCGTTTGCTCCCGCTGCTTTAATTCAATGCAATCCCTCCCCGTCGAGGCAAGCACTGTAATTCTCTCCGGTTAGTCCACCAGCAGATGACAAACACCCACCTCTCCGCCTCTTCCAAGGAACGAGGGGACCGTGCGGCAGAGTTTCAGTTTCAGTTACTTTCGCCGGTCAAGATGTCCGTTAAAGTTTAAATCTTCCGGACAAAATTAGAAAAGTGCCGGTCAAAGATCTTCTTTGTTATTTATTGAGCTTTAAAACAAATGAATAACGACTCTATATAATAAAACACGGAGAACGGCTCCCCTCTCCTGCAGGGGGGCGTGGTCAGCTGCAGCTCACAGAGATCAGCCCCGTAGACAGCAAACAGCACATAGAGCGAAATGAGGCATGGCTAAAATGCATGATCTGTTTGGTATTTTGAAAACAGAAACGTATAAATATACCTTATATAGGTATGGCCCTACAATATATCATTTAAATATAGCATGATAGGTCCACTTTAAATAGAGCGGCATGTTTAGGAGAATGTGTTTGGTTGGTTGTAAGAGGGACGAGGTGCGTCACGTGTTAATGTATCATTGGTGCTCGAGTTGACTGCCTGAACTAGCTCGCAGGCTTCGCCCCATTTTTTAGGAGGATTAAAATACTTGAAAGCCATTTATGTGAAGTGTCAGAAGAATGAAACAGACTTTAATTTTAAACCATTATTTTTTTTCCAATGTGTTAATACTGCAGTTATTTTTTATTGGCGAATATGAAGCTTTGTAATTTGTGAAGAGATTTTAAAATGTTGGCTTTATAATCTATGCATCTGTGGCTTTCAGTGTGCATTTTGTTACCTCTCTTTTATGTTATTTCATCAGATTCTAGGTCGACATGTCTTTGTTTCTTTATATTTTGTGAGGTGTAGTTCGGAAAAGGTTTCAGAAATAGTGATTAATTCCCACGTCTTGTCAAGTTTGTCTGAAGAAAGTAGTGTTTATATTGACAGACAGTGCTTACAGTTTAAAGTCCTGGACGGGCTCTGTAATACCACAATATCAGCCCAGAGGAATGGAAAAGACTTTTCTGCAGATGGACAGACTCAACACGGCTTCACACAACGCAATAACACACTGTCCTCCTCTGATATTACAGGATGTCAGGCTTGTATGTACTTTCTGCAGAATTGCATTTCAGGACAGAAGAGAGGCCATGATAAGAGCAACGCTGTGTGTGTGTGTGTGTGTGTGTGTGTGTGTGTGTGTGTGTGTGTGTGTGTGTGTGTGTGTGTGTGTGTGTGTGTGTGTGTGTGTGTGTGTGTGTGTGTGTGTGTGTGTGTGTGTGTGTGTGTGTGTGTGTGTGTGTGTGTGTGTGTGTGTGTGTGTGTGTGTGTGTGTGTGTGTGTGTGTGTGTGTGTGTGTGTGTGTGTGTGTGTGTGTGTGTGTGTGTGTGTGTGTGTGTGTGGTGTGTGTGTGTGTGTGTGTGTGTGTGTGTGTGTGTGTGTGTTGTGTGTGTGTGTGTGTGTGTGTGTGTGTGTGTGTGTGTGTGTGTGTGTGTGTGTGTGTGGTGGTGTGTGTAGTGTGTGCCTCAGTGTGCTTAGAAAGTGAAGGGAAAAGTGGAACAAATGCATAAATCAAACTGCTGAAAGTGACAGTAATGTTGGATTGTCCGGCTCTTTTTCAGTATGTTTTTCACGTGTTTCAAATCCATTAATGAGAGACGAATATGCAGTTTTCTTGCTGATCACTGCCTCCCTTTTGTTCTTACTGCATTTCCAGTCAATTCAAATTCAGTAACCGTGGGCATACATTTATTTCAGGACAAAGAAAGATTAAATTAGATTTGTTTTCACTTCACACTGCAGCATATAGGTTTGACTCAAGCCTATAAGAGTAGCAATAATTAACTAATTACAAGGACTTGGTTTCAAGATAATAACTTAAATACGCCCATTTATTATTTTTTTCTCCTCTTTCTTTTCCCCTTTTCTGATTTGTTAGTTATTTGATATACTTTAGTTTTAATTGTATCTCTTTTTGTATGTTTTATATGCCTGTAACGATATCATTTCTTAAAAGATGCAAAAAGGAAAATGTTTGAGTTAACTTAATTATAATTTTCTCTTAATCTCACAGTAGAATATGTACCTGACAGAAATACATCAACACTCCTATACACACACACACACACACACACACACACACACACACACACACACACACACACACACACACACACACACACACACACACACAGGCACAGGTTTGTCCCTGTACACTGCACATGCTGCAGCAAAGGCAGTGTGTGGTTTTGCTACTGGCTTATGTTTGTGTGTCTGTGTATTATTACTTGCAGTTGGAGAAAGTCAACTTATCAGCAGCACAGACCTTGAGAGCAGCCATTATAAAGGTAAGAACATAAGCTTTGTTTTGTTTGAAATGAACAAACTTTTAAAACCTATAGCTCATACCCTCAACTACGGTGGCCGGCCGATGCAAATGTCTTACAATGGCCCAAAAATATTTTCCAAAAACACATGCAAATGAAGAAACATCTTCTTCAACTTGACAACACATGTGCAGCGTTTACTAAGAGCGCTGCATTAACGAAACGCAGCGCAAACCACAACATAAACGAAGACACTAAAAGTGACGCACACAGCTGGGACCGGAGCGCTTGGTGATGTTCGGGAATTATAAAGCTGGCCAACTGTCACTGTTGTTGGAAAGATACCTTAAGTGTTTTAACGGCTTATTTTAAAGGTGGGGTAGGTAATTCACTTCAGAAACACTTTTTGTTATATTCCATGGAATGCTCTTAACATCCCGATAGCAATGAATATATTAAATGCTTTGACAATAAATACATAAACAAATGTCATCTGTGGAAGCCGTGGCGCTGTAAAAAGCACGACCAATCATCTGAGCCGGCTCGGCTAAAATAACTGGATGGCCTACCTGCCTGTCAGCCTTCCATCTCGTGCACAAACTTATCTCGTGCCCTCATTGGTCATGTGCGCGTTCGTGTGTGTTGGAGGAGGGCCTCTGTAAGGAAGTCTGAAGGAAGGGGCAGATTTTTTCCTGTTGTGTACTTTCAAATTCTAGCGCACTCGAGCTGGTTTCTCCATTCTTACCTACCCTACCTTTAACAATGTGATCGGATGATTCCTTCCGATCTTATTGCAGATCTGCTGTAAGCTAGCTAGCTAACGTAGCTAACTTAGTCATTTCAAATGTACTGACAAAACACCTAGAATTATGAAACAGACTAACTCTGCCAACAGCGACAGTTGGACAACTTTATAATCCCCAAATGTCAACAAGCGCTCCGATCCCAGCTGTGTGCGTCACTTTTTAGTGTCCCCGTGTCCGTTGTGTTTTGAGCTTCTTGCGGTGGTTTTTATTTAGGAAATGCTTTGGGCGCGTTTTGCACCTGTCGGCCACCGTACCTAACCTCCCTTGTACATTTTGCACTATTGACTTTCTGTTTATTAGTAGATTTAATGCCACAGTGGACTGAGATAACTTTCACACCTGTGTATTTGTGTTTCTCAAGGCAGAGAAGGAGAGCCCAGGTGTAACACAGGATATTGTTCTGAAAATACTGGAGAAGAAGAACATAAAAATCGACTACCATGAGTCTCTGCTTCGTATGGCTGCAGACGATGTGGAAGGTAGGACGCATAGTGAACGGAGGGTGCAATATAATGCGTCACATAGAACAACATTCACAAAACTGACTGTGTTGCTCAAGGACAGTTCAAAACGCTGCAGAATGATTACCAATTCAGCCCCGTTTGTCTTCCTGTTATTCCCTGCCTTTGTTCCATGAGCTCAGTCCTCCACTGGGGGGAGCTGTTTCCCCACAAATCAACTGCTCTCCGTGTTCTTAAATGTTCCATCTTTCTGTCTGTAATTGATTTCTTTGTGCCGTGTACAGTGATTGATGGTAGTAATGAATTCACACGTGCATTACACACACACACTTTGGATGAATTTTAAATGCACCTCCTGCATGGCACAGCTTTAATCCTACTGTCACTTTAAAGTGCACACACAATTGTGTATTACATTTGATACATTTTCACTGTTATTAATTGCTTTGTTTCAATGTGCCCTGCAGCTATGTGCAGCTGTGTTGATGTGACGCCGATGAGGAGTGTGTGATCTGTGTTTTTTTTCATTTTCTTCCTCTTGATGTTTCCAGAGTTCATGATTGACAGGCGGGAGCCGGAGTTTCAGGAGCTGAACGAGAGGGCCCGAGCTCTGAAACACATCCTCAGCACTATTCCTGATGAGATCAATGACAGAGTAGGCTTCCTACAGACCATCAAGTAAGACAGCTCAGTGTGTGGGTGCATTATAAACCAGATGTAAGTCAATCTAAAAGGTTTCACTCTTGTATTAGTTGTGTACATTTCCAGAAATGGCCTCAAAAGGACTTCAAATAGTTTTTTTTGTATCAGTTAAAAGAAAGATTGTGATGAAACAAGTAATTGCATATAAGCACAGACATAAAAAATGATTTATTTCTTTGTGAAGTGAATTTTGGAAGAGGCACAATTGAATGCAAAGTCAAAGGAAAGACGTGAGTGGGCGTTAAAATAGATGCAAATGCTCTTTCTGTGCAGCGTAATGGGACTAAGAAGATTTGAAAATCTTTCAATAGAGTTGGGCTCAGTCTGAATCTAAACAAAAAGAACACACATGCAAACTCCGAACAACTCGCTGCATGTGTTACTAATTACAGCGAACATCAGCTGTTGGGAGTGAACTGTCCAGGGTTCCTATTCATGGGATTAAAACTCACGCTCAAAACTGATGTTGTTTGATTTTGGGGCTTTCCATTTCCTGTAGTGTGTTATTTAGGTTTGAATGAATTCCCACCCAAAAACTAGTCACTGGTCACACACTGACATCCATGGAGCCCAGAGGAGTAGAGAAGAGCTGCTGCAGCTTCCTCAGCCTGTTGTGCAGGTCCTGATTAGTGAATGGGAGGTTTGCACCTGGAGGGAGACAATCAGGGGGAGAGGGGGAGAGTGGGAGAGACACACAAACACAACATGGCACGTAACACTTGGGGAAAAATACAACTTAAAAAAGAAAAAGTCTCAAACATGGGAGTTCATATGTAACCTTGGAAACAGTGGCATGACAAACTAATGTATACGCAAAAGGTTTATCTGGAGCTTTTAGATCTATCTCAGTCTTCATCAACCAATGAAAAGGGCTACACTGCTGCCACATGACCTGAAGTTTAAACACATAATCATTTAAACATGCAACAAAATGTACGTCTGTTTTGAAAGAGTGGTGAAAAAACTGTAAGGCAAAGTTTATACTTTTTTCACACGCACGCACGCACACACACACACACACACACACACACACACACACACACACACACACACACACACACACACACACACAGCTACTTAAGAGTGAAAGACGTTTCATTTCCTTGGCCCACTTTGCCATTATTTTTGATCGAATTCAATACTCTTAGTGAGTCACTGCTTAAGTAACTTACCCAGCGGAGAGCTTAGAAATGAATTCAATTCAAAAGAAATGCTGAAAAATTACTGTTACGAAACGGCAGATTTCAAGTGCATTCAAGGGGACAAAAAGTTGAAGGAGAAAGCACGTCCGTCAAGAGAAGTGGAAGAAACGGGAAACAACACTCGGTATTGTGGGGGAAACTTCTGAAGCAATTGGGAGTCAGGACTCAAAGAGAGACACGATGGAGAGCTGGAGCTTTGATGGCAAACACTGACGGTTTATTTGGAGCTTCGGCCGGAGACATGTCACGGGCCACGAGTTGACCACACGGTTGAGATGCCACAATCAATTCTGAAGAACTCTTTCTGTAGCTCGAGGTTTTAACTAGTTCGGAGTGTAATAATCAACATTCTTCATCAGCGAGACTAAACCATTATGGACCCTGAATCTAACTAGAGCTCTCGTCCATAGAAAAGAATGTGCGCCAGGGAGCCTACGTCCCTGAACAGTAAACTACCTCATGGCGGCTTGTGCTCGGTCATAGACTGGCAACAACAATGCGCCCAAGCTGCTCCTCCTTAAGAGAGACAGCAGCAATACCCAAGGCCGTAGACCTATGCCACGAGAAAGGAGACAGTGAGAGGAGAACATTATGAACTGGGTCGAAGGTTAAGCCAATTATTCACTAACAAGTATAGTTGGTTTTCATAAAACAGATTAGAGATTGGAACTCCCTCTGAAGAGAACTTTTTACATGCACAAAAAAATATATAACACACTACAGGAAAGGGAAAACCCCCGAAAAGCATTATCAGTCATCTTTAACCTACACTTATTTGTTTGTGTCATCCGCAGAGACATCGCCAGTGCCATAAAGGAGCTGCTAGACACGGTTAATACGGTCTTCAGGAAATACCAGTATCAGAATAGACGGGTAAGTAGGAGGATACATGAAAAAGACAAAATGAGTTTTACTCAAATGTAGTGTTTGTGGGATAAGTGGAGCTGAAAGGCTGTCTGTATTTATTGTTTAGGTGCTGGAACAGCAGAAGAAAGAGTTTGTGAAATACTCCAAGAGCTTCAGTGTCACGCTGAAAACCTACTTCAGAGACGGAAAGTATGAACCTGTTTCCTTTTTCTGTCTATTCACACACTCGTTCTGCCTTTTTACGACACATTTAATAGCTTTTATAGCAGCACACACACTTTCACACACACACTGTCACCATCATGTAAATGGTTTGTCGTTTGATCACAGCCCCGCTTCTATCAAATCCACCATTGCTGAATAATTCCCTTGACCCATTTCCCGTGGATTCATGCTGGCGTGTGTTCTCTGAAGCCTGACATCCTCTCCGTTTCCCCCCGCCACATCAAAGTGTTTCCTGGATCAATCCTAATATTGTTGCCATGGTTTCTCTGCTCTGCTCTGATTGACACGTGTGTCTTTGTGTCTCTGTCACGCTTGTTTCCAGAGTGATAAACGTGTTTGTCAGCGCCAACCGGCTCACGCACCAGACCAACATGATCCTGCAGGCCTTCAAGACGTCGGTGTAGCGGCGCGGGAAGACACACACACACACACACACACACACACACACACACACACACACACACACACACACACACACACACACACACACACACACACACACACACACACACACACACGCATCTTTATTAGAGAACAGGTAACATGAGGCTTTGTATTACTAATTTGTAAAGAGTTTTACTATTTTGGGCTGTATAATTTATAATTCTGCGGCTTTGGGGGGAGATCAGGTAGTTTGATGTTCAAAGGGAATCAGGTTGACGGTAACGGCCCGTCCACACAGCAGCGTTAAAAAAATCTTGGAGGTGGGCGTATCTGAAGCTTGGGGATTTTTTGCGAGCAAGGCACCAACAACCAATCACATGAATCTCCCGCCCCCGACATACGAAGCAAAAAAGCCCGAAGTAAACTGGATATAAACTCCCCAAACAGGCGAAAACCTACCACTGTCTCTGCCACCTCCCTCCATGCCTGGCTCCTCCGGTTTGTATCCCGGTAGGTAAATAGGGACTGGTCATAAAGCACCGGGTGATTCCCTACCGCTAATTTCTCCTCCATTTTTTGGAATATGAGGAAATGACCTGCGGTATGTCTCTCCCAGCATACACGCGGTTTGATTGGCTAGCGCTTGAACTGTCAGATTTGCATACACGGGATTTGATTGGCTGACGCTTCCACCTCAGCTTCAAAAGTTGAACATTGCTCAACTTTGAATCCTGAAAATCCTGAAAATCTCCGCTCTGCTTCCCACAATGCAGTTCGGCGCAAAGTGACGTCACCCCATTCAAAGTGAATGGGCAGAAGCGTTCCAAGATTTTTTAACGCTGCTGTGTGGACGGGCCGTAATTGTCCGGGATTTTTAACTCTCTTTTATGTTGTTCTTTTATCAAGATCTTGAGTCGATATTTCTTTATATATTAGCCTCTCTGTTCAGTGCTGTGCAAAAAAAAGTTTAGGAAAGAACGATCATTTCCATTGAGCTGTGTCTTAAAAAGCTCAATGAAAACCCGTACACATTCCCACATTTCTGCACTTTAACTCTCATTTGATTGTTTATTCTTCTGTTGTAAAACACCATTCCTGTGTTTATTGTGGAATATAATCTTGATATACCTGTAAATGGTTGTATCATGTACTTTCAGCATTCATCATATTGAACTTATATCTGTCAAGAAACCAAAACCTGGAGAAACATTCAGGATGTTTCCAATGTTTGCTTTTTTTGTCCTGTAATATTCACCCAGTGTATAAACACAACCTCTCAAGGTGAACTCACCCGCTGGTCTGTCTTTCTTTTTACTTTAGTTACACAAATATTAGTCTTTGTGTGTCCACTGTCTATTAACTAGAAAATAACTCATGGCGTTTTTAATGAAAGGTGATCAGAGTTGCGATGAAGAAATGATTACAAATGTATTTCTGAGGAGTTTACTTACTGTGGATGTGTATGTACCCTGTCTCTGCATTTCAGTTGGTTTATAACCCTTTTTTTTTCTTGGGACAATTAGAAAAATGTTATCTAATTTTAACATGAGTTTCCTTTTCGTTTAAAGTTTCATTTTCCAACATTAGGGCACACTTTTCCAGTCAATAGTTTAAAATGGTGCCAGTACAGTATAGGTGATGAACTAAATAAACATTTAACATGAATAAAACTAAGAAACAGGGTGTCAGCGGGGTCTCAAAACGTATTAAAAGTTGATAAAATCAAATTAGCGAAAATTAAGGCTATTAAAAAGTATTAAACGGCATTTTCCAAGGTATTACATTTTGTAGCTAGTTTTCAATAAGTATATAAATTGTCCAAAGAGGTTGTATTCTACAGTCTGCCTGAATGTAATCATTGCGTAGGTGTGTAGTGTGATTCTGTGGTCTATTTATGGCATCCCGTTGGATTTGACGTCATCTGAACAGGACATCGCACGCTCACTGCTTGATAGCGAGCGAAGGCCCGTTTACGCCGGTTGTTAAGCAACATCGTTATGGGGAAATGCAAGTTTGTGTCCAAATGGTTGGAAGATAAGGAGGAAGGACAATCAATACTGTATATAGTAAATGTGAGGTAAAGTGTGTCGCCAATGTAACCGGTTAAAACTCAAAGTGGCCATGAGGTCTTAAAATGTATGGAAAGGGTCTTAAAAAAGGTCTTAAAATGTATTACATTTGACTTCAGGATTCCTGCATATACCCTGTAGAAAACAATACATTCTTTCATTATCGAACCAGTAAAGGGTCTAATAAAGTGACATAAATCCAATAGTGATGAAACGCCTCCATTGGACTCCTGTGTTTACTCTCGGAACATAATGACATCACTACGTAACACTCACTTTTTAAATCCAGTTTTTATACAATATGAGAATCCACCATGAAACTCTTTGAAGCTAACATATTATTTTATTTCTGCTGGTGATGTTTTTCCCCATTGTAAATGTGGCATACATAACCAACGATGGCAGGATGTCACACTGAGATATATTCAGCAAAGCTTTCAAGGTTTTTGATCCGAAAATCCACTGTTTCAATGTCGGATACTTCACATCAATGAGCAAATCCCTCGTTTTTATTTTGTACCTCAATCTTACACGGAGAAGTGTGAGGAGGAGGCAACTGTAACTGTGGGAACCACCGAGTGTTTGGAAACAGGCTGGGCTGTAGAGTCCATATTCAAAAGGAGTTGAAGGTCATTGCAGCACGCTGAAGGACACTTGATTTGGGAAAAGAGGAAGTAACAAAACTGTAAATGTATTATGTAAGACAACAGAACAATGTGACATTAAAGAAGAATCCCCCATGAAACACATGAGCACATACTACAGTTTAAAAAAGCAGAAAGAAAATCTGAGCTCATAGAAAAATAAGTATAAAGTAGTATAAAATAAAAATACAGGTACCTATTGAGTAAATGTACTGTACATCTTGGTGCCAGGAGAACAACCTCCATCTCAACATCAGCAAAACAAAGGAGCTGATTGTGGATTACAGGAAGCAGCAGGGAGAGGGACACGCCCCCATCGCCATCAATGGGACTACGGTGGAGAGAGTCAGCAGCTTCAGGTTCCTCGGTGTCCACATCACTGAGGACCTGACATGGACTCTTCACACCATCACCAAGAAAGCTCGACAGCGGCTCTTCTTCCTCCGCAGGTTGAGGAGGTTCAAAATGGACTCCAGGATACTCTGCAACTTCTACAGGTGCACCATAGAGAGTATCCTCACTGGCAGCATGACGGCCTGGTACGGCAGCTGCACCGACCTCGATCGTAAGGCTTTACAGAGGGTGGTGAAAACTGCACAGCACATCACCAGGAGGACGGAGCTGCCATCCATGGAGGACCTTTACTCCCAGCGGCTCAGGAAGAAAGCCCTCAGGCAATAAGACTGTTAAACACCTGAACAGTTGAAACAACATCCATAACATTCATCTGCTACTTAGTCATTATTTCTCTATTTCTCTAATATATCATTCCAATAACTTGCATATACTGTAGACTCTTATTGCACTATTTCACTTTTTTAAACTATTTTTCTTTTTGTATTTACTATTTACTTGCACTATATTTCTGTTTATCTGTGTTATTGTGTTGCACTGTTGGAGGACCCTGTGACCTAAGATTTTCATCGTCATAACTACACTGTAGTTATGTTCGTATGACAAAATAAAAACCTTGAACCTAACTTTCCACCACTGCCTGTATCTATTGCGACAGATTTCTTTGAATACTTATCCACATTTCAAGTACTTTGAAGCAGCAAATCTTCTATTATGCTTGATTGAATCTTAACTAAGTTTGCGCAAATATTTGTGAACCTTTATTATTTCTCGTTGTCTTAAGTGAAATGGCCATGGCACATTCCTTGAACCAAATGTGAAAAGAAAACTCTTAAACAAGAGTCATGAAAAGAGTGTTGAAGAGGCGTTTTTCTTTTTTATTAATAATTAAATAGTTCTGTCACTTGAGAAAGATTTTCAGAAGTGGGTCTGTTGTATAAAAGTGTTTCATTTCCACTCAGATGCCCTTGCGTTTTTCTTTCTCTGCATGCACCTCCTTTTTCCTAAGATCCGTGCCAACCCCCCCCCCCCTCCTTCATATTCCATCGTCTTCATTCTTCTCCCTGTATAATAGTGGATTTTCCATGGTGGATTTGTGGTGGGGCTATTTTTGGGCTCCCATACATTCACCACTGTAATCCAATTGTGAATTTTTAAAGCTTTATTATTGAAATTGCTGAGACCTAATTTTCTGATCCTGTCACCATGAAGACCGCCGTAATCAGCTAATTCAAGTTATTCCAGGCCATTAAGTCACTCGCGGGGATTGGGTCGTGGTCACTGAAGCAGCAGGGGGCGAGGGGAACGATCATATCTGCGTTGGATATATATAAAACCTTTGAGTGCATTCATGCTTAAAGTCAATCTATTTGAAAAATGCAGAGACTATTTTCCTCCTTTTTGCAGTGTTGGAAGAAGTAGGCTACTCATGTATTTGATTTACGGTGGCCGACAGGTGCAAACATTGCAAAAGAAACAACAAATGAAGAACCATCTTCACCAACTTGACAACACATGAAGCTCAGCGCAAGTTCAACCAGGAAGACCTTCTTTACTCATTAATTTACTATTTCCATGTTACTACTCTCTCTCCTCTCAATAAGTGATCGGGGGCGTCACTCCCCAGCTTAACCAATCACTTCAACCTTTGAAATCTGCTCTCCCCTGTGACAGCTGTCATTTCAGGTGACTCAACGCAACCCTCCTCCACCCCCTTTTCACCTTCCGTCCCTCTGAATCCAGGGTCAAGCTAAGCCCCTCCCCTTCAGACCGAACCCAACTATCCATTCACCACCACCAGTGTCTAGACCCCGGGGGGTTTCATCGGATCGGTTCTCCCCTCCCGAATGATACTCCTGCACAACGGGGCCTAATCGCCAAAACTCCATTACATTCATTTGTGTATTCCTGGCAATAAATATGTATTCTTACATCAAAACCGTCTCTCCTGATTGAACTGTTCAGGGTTTACTAAAAGTGCTGCACAAACGAACGGCTGCACAAAGCTCAACAGAAACCAGGGGACACTAAAAAGGGACGCACACAGCGGGGCTTGTTGACATTCAGGGATTATAAAGTTGTCCAACTGTCACTGTTGGCAGAGTTAGTCTGTTTCTTAATTGTAGGTGTTTGTCAGTATTTTCAAAATGACTAGGTAAGCTACGTTAGCTAGCTAGCTTACAGCAGATCTACAACAATATCTGAATCATCACAATTTTAAATAAAGACAATAAGTGTGTGTTGCACCTGTCAGCCACCATATTAAAGGTAGGGTAGTTAAGAATGGAGAAACCAGCTCGAGTGCGCTAGATTTTGAAAATACGCAGCCGGAAAAAATCTGCCCCTTCCTTCAGACTTCCTTACAGAGCCCCT